GCCCCTCGAAAATGTCTTCCTTTCCGAGCGATAACTCTCTATCCTCATAGCCGCGCCGCCCCTTATTTGGCCTTCCCAGTTTTCAAGCCTGTCATTGCAATAGGAGCGCCGGATACGCATACTCCCTTTCAAAAAACGAGAAGAGCGTCGGGTGCAGACCATACACCACAAGTGACGACGGCCTCCACAAAATGTAAATGTTTTCTGCCAATGAAATGATTAGCCTGTTGCAGTTGTATTCTATCAGTTGTCACTAATTACAACTATCATTTACCAAAATCAGCTATCACTATGAACCACTACTAACCAGATTTACTTGGAGGCCGTCGTCACTTGTGGTGTATGGTCTGCACCCGACGCTCTTCTCGTTTTTTGAAAAGGAGGGTATGCAAAAGTAAACTGCCAGGGTGGGCATATAATCCAATGTGAAAGTGAAAGTCGGCATTTGTATGAAATCGTCACTTACCCTGGCGTTTCTGGCAGAAACGGAAGAAATATCGCAAAAACTAGCATCATTCCAATTTCACTAACATAAATATATGGCCTGAAATAAATGAAAAAATTGCAAAATATAGAATGACAATGAAATTATACATTAATATCGATCGGGCTCAGAACCTATTGACCATGAAGAATATCGCTTACCACAGATTAAAAGTACCCAAAATTTGTGGCATTGCTAAGACTGAACCAACAACAGTACCGAATTGCACACATGTACCAGTGATCATTCCGATTGCACCACGACATTCTTTAGGGCTGTAAAAAAACCGAAGTTTGAATATTGTGAGTAAAAATGCCCGGCACTAGCGGACTTCATAGATGATCAGGTTGTGTACCAAGGTTGCTGCGGATTCTCGCGCACATAAGCGTTTTTCGCCTCGTGGCGTGCGGCACCATGTGGTGCACGTGGCAACAAGGAATCGCTTTTTCGGCACACTGGCTTGTTGCAAGGTGTGACATATCGTTACTTCATATTACTCACTTGTCACACCCCTTAGCGTCTCTCTCTGCTGCACATCTGCTTTTCCAGGAAAATCAGAACAATCTTTTCGAAGGATTCAAATCAAGAACTGAGGCACAAAACGATTTTTGCGGGCAGGCAATTTCGTACGGGCAAGCATTCTCTCACCATTAAACACCAATTAAACAATTTCCTAGCCTCCCCACCCCCCCCCGGATTGAAACGAGCACACTGAAGACAGCATGTGGAATGTTACGAGAAATCAATGGAGGATCACTGAGCCCCCCCTACATCTTAGTAAAAAAAACCGCTTGTTAAAAACGAAGCGTGAGAAATGGGGAATATTAGTGCTTAGATTATCGCCTCTTGACTGGTGTTAAGTCCACTTGCTTTTTACCTATACTGTGAAATTAATTTGTTATACGAAGCGGGGTACGTGGTATACATACTTATCTAGATTGTGACCTGGTTGCTTCACAAGAACTGTGCGAGATGAATAGCAGGTTAGGTTACGCTATCATAAGTTGCCAGTTACAGTCCGTCGTGCTCTACCAAGGCTCCTCACTCCTTATTCCTTATCCTTGTTTCTCCTATATTCACCAAAGCCAGGATAAGCACCAGATTTTCCGCCGTATCTCATTATCTCATGTGCTCATAAGTATCCTCTATCTTTTAAAGCTTTAATGAGCTTCGTTTGCACTTGGATGAAAAAAGGAAGCAGAAAAAGATCCACCACTGCAGCATTTCAAAATTCAAAAAAAATAAGAATTAAGATTTTTGCAACTTTCATAACGTTCTGTCTGTAGGTTGGTAGGAAATTTTCACTCCGGCCCATTTTCAAAAATTTACTAGTAAAATTTACTTTACTACTGCCTCCCTGTGTACATGCAGTAGCGGCCGAAAATTTTCGTCGAAAACGGTTTTTCGTACCTCTGTTTTGCAGAAAAATAATGTGATTCTCAAATTTGTTTCTTTGTAATCCTGATTCTCAACTCGGAATGTTAAGAACACTAGAAAGACATGTAGATCAACCCTAGAGACGCCAAACCCCTTGCTCCAAGCGAAGATAATAATCACTAAAGCTTGTCTTCTGGCGTACACTTGGACCGCTACTGTATAAGACGTGCACAATCTAACTACAACCACGCTGACGCCGAATATTTGGACATCCTGCGATTTTCCCCCCAAAGAAGATAGGTGATGTGAATGATAAGCGTGTCGAGCCACCTCAATTTGACCCCTCATCTGCTTTTCCCATTGAGGAAGGCGAAGCGCCTAAAGAGCAATAACTAGAAGGTCGGCGAGAAAACCTAAGGACACAATCCGAGCGTGAGTTTCTACTCACCTGGGTTCGCCTTTCTTGAGGCCTGATGGAGGCGATGGCTTCTCCCCGCTCCACACTTGATCAAGTTACTAGTAACAACGACTCCCTATTGATCCCAATCTGGACCCTCGCCGAAAAGTGGCTGCTCAGGCCATTCTTCAGCCTTCGAGAAGAGAACAATCTATGACACACCGCATCAAATGAGTTGCCAATCAGTCCCTGGGGCGTGAAGGGGCCCGATAAGTTGCTTTGTTTGCATGATATAAGCACAACAGTGCATAGTTAATTTTCAGGCTGGGTTCTGGTGATACAAATACCTGCAAAAGGGTCAGGACGGCGAACTTTGCGATCAACTTTATGATATATGATGCGAAAGCATTTCACTAATAAGTCTGAATTCAAGATGAAGTGTTTGAAACGGGAATTTCAACTAGAAAAATTTTTGAAGAAGGACGGAACTTTCTAAATGAACATTCATAACCTAACCTTGATTCTGAGAGAAACAACGCCGCGAGACCCAAACTCAAACTAACGGAGTAACCCATTGTTACTCGTGAAACTGAATACATTATAACACTAGGAATCTGAAATCGATAACAATTGAACATGATATAATGCCTTATTTGAGGCTCATTTACAAAAACTCACAAACTTGGACCCTACTGAGAGCCCTGCAGAAACACATCCAATAACCATAGATACATAAAGCCCTTGCTTCCGACCGATTCGATCGGCTATCAATCGAATTGAAAAAGATCCAGCAAGTGCACCAAGAAACAATATGGCGACAATCAAGCTCCAAATTTGCTAGAAATAGAAAAGTAAACACGTAAAGGGGACTTACCAAAGGAGGCCTTCTAAGGAACTTTTGAAGGGACATAAGTAAATCAACATCGTCAAGCGTACTAGTCACAATTATGGAGGACCAAACGCTGCTATACTGCTATATCAAGTTTTCAAGCAAATTGTGAGCGGTCAGAGATAGCAAGAAATGCAGGAAAAAAAGTAAGTGTGGCCAAAGTGGCGCCAGATGGCCCATGTGTCAAAAATAAGTGCCATTGTGGTAGTCAGGCTTCGCCTTAGGCTGTTTCCTGCTAATTTTGACCACTCAGAATTTGCTAGGAAGTTCATATAGCTGTTTTGTCTTCATACTTGTGAGCAGCGTGATAGGCTCCATCGATTTGCGTTGGTCCCAACTTAACCCTTTCCGGACCGCCTGACACCCATGGGGTGTCAGGAACTTCAAGAGCTGATTTTTCCAAGGTTTGGTTTTTCGATAAAATATTTTATGTTGTTACATACCTATGTAACAGACTCATGCCATATGTATGAAAAACCTAGACTTTCAATCTTAATCTAGGTTTCTAAAATAAATGAAAAGTAAATGGACTACACACTGGACGTACCACTTTGAGCTCAAGGAAACAGTTGAAATTTCTTGAAAGCACTTCATCCCTAAGAATTAATAAAATATCGTGC